GCTCTAGTCATTGTGGTTCTTACTTGATTATTTCTGCAGAGAAGACCCACCATGCACCAGCTGACGGTGAGTGTTTTCTCCTCCTCTGAGCCTCAGTTATTTGTGAAATGGGAGCAATATTTATGCTCACCCTGCTGGGGAAAACAGATGAGGTTACGTAGGTGAGAGTTTTGTGTAAACTAACATCTAGTGCACTTTGTGGGGAAGAGGTGATATATAGTCAGACTGACCTGGGTTGGAGTTCAGCCCTGCCCCTTTCTGGAGGTGTGGCCTTGGGCAAAAAAGTGCCTTTCTCTGAGCCTCAGGTTCCTTATCTGCTAAGTGTGAATACTAACAGTATTTACTACTCACAAGCTTGTTTTAGAAGTCAAATAAGGGCCAAATGAGATAACAGAAGCCTGTGGCATACAGTAGGTGCCCAGCAAATGTTCCTCCTCAAACACATGTGCATGCACACACAGCCCCTGATGCAACCAGAGTAACAAAGTGTTCTCAGTTTGGAGGAGAAAACAGGCAGCCAATGAGCTCGCTCTCTAGTTTCCATTCTAAGAAAGGAACTCACTGGCCAGAGTCCAGGCTAGTCAGTGATGTGGAGAATAGGAACGAATGCCAGCCTCCCACATGGAGTTTCCAAAAAGTGTGAGCACAGTGTTGCATAACCTGTCTCCGGAGAACTTCCACAAACTATTCCCCAAAAGGAAACGTGAGCAGGGCTATGGAGCAACCTCGGGAGGGAGGAGGCGAGCAGAGGTGTGGGGCTGGGGCTGCACAGAAAAACTTTGTCCCTGCTGGCACAGGCCTGTAATCCGAGCAATGCCAAAGGCTGAGACAGGAGGATCACAAGTTCAAAGCCTGTCAGGAGTACAGAGTCAGCCTGGGAAACTTACACTCTGACCTACAATACAAAGTGAAAATAGGGCCAAGGAAACAAGTCAACAGTAGAGCACCGGCCAAGCATGAGCAAGGGCCCAGGCTCAGGCTCCAGTAGTAAAAGACGGACACAGAAGAAGCCATAGGCTCTGGGTTCATTCTGTCTGGTACTTAGAGTAAGATCCTTGTCTCAACTCGGAGAGCTTAGGTATTTCCACTCCCACATTCCAAAGGAAGAAATAACAGCAGTAATTAATACTGCCAACATTTACACAACACTGACTGCTTATCAGGCTAAGCACACACTTGATCCTCAGTACAGCCCACAATAGGGGTGCTACTGTGATCCCTGTGTTATGGAAGAGAAAACCATTAAGGTGGAAGAGGAGGGTGTGAAATCAGTTCTCCAGGCTGCTGTAGAGCCAGGATTTAACTCTAAACAACCCCGTGTCACTTGAGTGACTTACTAGGGTAGATCAGAAGCTAACCCTGGTACTAATTGCCCTTACATCCTTGTAGTTAGGCCCCGCTGTGGGGCTGATGTAAGCGACCAAATGACTAGACACTCAGAGGACAGTTTGTCCCAGCTTGTAGCTGTTTGCCACCTCCGCTTCTGACCCAAAGTTTGAATTTCATTCATAAGTTTGTAACCACAGAGTTGGCAGTGTGGGAAAGGCCCTTGGGGACCAACTATTTTAGTCCAACCCCCTCCTATTACAAATGGAAAAAAAACTCTAATGCTCAGGGACAGCCAAGGACACATCAAGGTCACAGAGAAACTTTCTGTTGGCTGGAGGAGTTGCTTTGGGGTCAACTACAGATAGTTGTCTGTGGTTGCCAAACATGCAACTCTGGTTCACTCTTTTAAAGTTGATTATTGTTATTATTTATTATCGAGATAAGATACCTTTATGTATCCAAGCTTTCTGGAACTCATGATCTTTTCTCATCCTCTAGACCCCAAAGTGTAAGGACTGCATACTCGTGCCACCGTGCCTAGCTTGGGATTAGCTTTAAATGTACAGATTTTGTGCTTGAAGTGCCATTCAATCGTGTTTGTATGACAGGTAAGGCCCTGGGTTTGATCTTTAGCACTGGACGGACAGACAGACAGACACACACACACACACACACACACACACACACACACCACATGCTTTCGGAGGTCAGGGGACAAGCCTCAGGAGTCAGACCCCTCCTTTCACTGTGCCGTCCCAGGAACTGAACTTGGGTCTTTCGGGTTGGCAGCAAGCGCCTTTGCCTGCTGAGCTATCTCATCAGTCCCAAGAGATTAATCTTTATGCTCCGCTTTCACAGAGAAATTCAAATGTGCACTGTTTCTCAAGCAGTTCTGACGTCATATGGTATTGCGTTTGGAAGTTGGAATCCAATCCCTGGCTTTTCCTTTATAGCTTGGAATATTAGGGCCCACCAAGGGACTTGCCTAAGGTCATTCAGCAAGTCTGTGACGTTTCCTAGACCCTTTGATCGAATTTCAAGAACAGGCTAAGGAGGCTAGTCATGGTTCCCTTATCTCTTGGTTTCCTTGTTGGAGTCAGGTTAAGACATAGGATGGTGGCCATTTCCCGGACTCAGCAAGGAAGGAACCCAAACGCTGAGCCTTCAAAAGGAAAAGGAAACAGCAGAGCAGGAAAGGATGTGGCCAGCCAATGGGGTTTTCCCAGAGGCAAACTATGCTCTAGGAATGACATCAGACACTCTCTATCTACACAGTCCTAAAGCTACCTGTGAGTCCTAGTTCAGGATGACGGGGAGCACTTTTCCTGTGGGGGAGGAGATGGGGTGGCCTCAACCCAGCTGTGACGTGAAGCAGGCGGATCAAGTATGGACAGACCTGCCTGTGGGCGCCAAGACAAACCTCTCCATTCTGTGCTTTCTCTAGACCTCCCTTCCCTCCTCTCCCTCATCCCCCCTTCACTGCAAGACTGAGTGGAAGAATTTACTGCCACAATCTCTTTCCTCCCTTCTCCTGCCATCTGGAGTCAGAGGGCCTTCATTTGAGTCCAGCCTCAATTTCTCTTTCTTTTTCATTCATTTTGTTTTTTCAAGATAGGGTCTCCCTGTGTAGCCCTGGTTGTCCTGGAGCTCTTTTGGTAGATCAGGCTGGCCTTGAACTCAGAGATCTGTCTGTCTCTGGCTCCTGAGTGCAGGAATGAAAGTCTTGCACCACTGTGTCCTGCTTAAACCTCAGTTTCTTTATGTACAACTCTCTTGGGCTTTGAGAATTACATAGCTCATATGTGTACTTGACAGTCTCACGGACACTGGATGCTGAGAGTTAGTGAAACACAGGAGTCTGAAGAACTTGTGCTGAACTGAATTGAGGTGCCTAAAAGATGGTTGAGTTGAGAAGTACCTCAGCGATCTTTGGGCTAGAGTCCAAGTGGATTATTTACCATTTCCAAATGCTAAGAGAAGCCTTGTTTCTTTCCTTTTGTCTGGGGTTCTTCTATCAACTCAAGTCAATTCAAAGTGATTTCATGGCTATCAGAAACTCTGACAGGTAGAAATGTGGGGTTTCGCTAAGTGTTTAAATGGGAAGATAATTAGTGCAGTGTAAAGTACACGTTGGGAAATGTTCATGTAGTCCAACTCCTCGTTTCGTAAATGGGGAAGCTGAGGTTTAAAGACGGGAGTTGCTCAGTGGTCACACTGCTAGCAAGAGGCAGAGCCAGCTGCAAGCCCACGCTCTCTTCCTAGAACCACTCACTTCCCTTCTTTGTGCTCTTCTGTGAAGCCGGGGAACTTGGGTCTTTGGGAACAGAAACCCAATGAGTCATGGGTTTGCCTTTGTCCTTTCTCTGCTCTTGATTCATTCAGCAAATATTTACTGACTGTCCACTGTTCAGTCTCAGAGAAGGCAGAGCTGAAACAAACATGGAGGGAGGCAAGGTCAGGGGTGATGCCAGCTGTGACTGCAGGCGCCTCAGCACCCGCCAGTCTGCCATTTAATGTGGCCGTGTCTGAGTGCGGGGCGTTGTCTCAGGTGTCCAAATCTTCCCAGCCTCACTGGACTATATATAATGCCTGTTTTGCTGGGTGTATGGAACACACCTTTAATCCCAGCACTTGGGAGGCAGAGGCAGGCGGATCTCTGTGAGTTCAAGCCCATCCTGGTCTACAAAGGAAGTTGCAGGACAGCCAGGGCTACACACAGAGAAACCCTATCTTGAAACAACAAACAAAAAGCCCATTTTGTCGCTAACTCTATGTCTTGAAGACAGTATGCTCCCTCCCTTCTCTGGCCTTTAAACATCAGTGTGAAGAAAGGGGTCAAAGGACAGTTTGTAGAAGAGGCTGAAAGTTCTGGATTAACTAAGGAAAGAAAACACTGAAAATCTAACATGAAAATAGTCAGTACTTAAACTTATTTTTCTCCTTGGGAGGGAGAGGCGGTGTGTGTGTGTGTGTGTGTGTGTGTGTGTGTGTGTGTGTGTGTGTGTGTGTGTTCCAGGTAGGCCTGGAATACAGCAAGTTCCAGACCAGCCAGGGCTACATAGTGAGACTGTCTCAAAAGAAAAGTTCTTTTTGATTAAATTTGTTATTGTTTTATTTGTGTGAGCTCAACAGTCAGGTGACAGCAGGAGGGAATCAGTTCTCTTCTATCAACATGTGTGTTCCAGGGATTGAACGCAGGTCCAGCAAACCTTTAACCTGCTGAGTCATCTCGCCATCCCTCGTTAAGTGAATGTTTTTTGTCTTATTCATTCCTAGACTTTCCACCCCTTTCCCTCCTAAGAATAGATCTGCTGTTTTTGCTTTTGTTTTTACTAATTTTATTTATTTTTATTATTTTATGTGCATTGCTGTTTTGCCTGCATGTATGTCTGTGTGAGGGTATCAGATCCTGAAGTTACAGACAGTTGTGAGCTGCCATGTGGGTGCTGGGATTTCAACCTGGGTTCTCTGAAAGAACAGTTAGTGCTCTTAAACCACTGAGCCATTTCTCCAGCCCCCGATCAGCTGTTTTTAAAAAATTCCCCTCTAGAGGGAGCGCAAGAGTCACGGCTTTGTGCCTCACTTCCGTTTGCCTTCATCCTTCCTCCTGCGCATGTGCAGTTTACTTCCTGGCAGCTCTCGGGAGCCTCTCGGGATGATGTGGTTGGGCTGCGTCCACTGCGCCTGCGCGATCTCAGTGCGGCCGCTCGGCCGCCGTCCCCGGAAACGCTTCCTTCTCACGCAGCCGCAGGTCTCAGCTAGTCGGCCTCTCTAGGCCGGCAGGTCCTCCGCTCCATGGTCCTGTCTGTCAGCGCAGTTTCGGGAATCCACGGCTGAGGCCCGGCCGCGCTCGGACGCTTCGATCCTCGAGCGGGTCGCGGGTGAGTGAACCCGGGAGGAGCCTGGCGGACGGAGCGGGCCGGCTTCCCCTGACGCCGTGGGTGGGTCCGCCGCCCCGCCTCCCCCACCTCCCGGAATGGTTTCCCTCCCTGGTCCCAGGCCCTCCTCCCTCCCGCGGCGTTGCCAAGGCGACGGCCGGCCGGCTGAAGCTCCGTGTGTATCCCCGCAGGTAGCCAGCCCGGCGTTCGCGGGCGGCGCGATGGCGTGGCGGCGCTGACACACGCGGGCGGCTGCCGAGCCCCGCGGGCCGGCATGGCGGGCCAGTTTCGCAGCTACGTGTGGGATCCGTTGCTGATCCTGTCGCAGATTGTGCTCATGCAGACGGTGTACTATGGCTCGCTGGGCCTGTGGCTGGCGCTGGTGGACGCGCTGGTGCGCAGCAGCCCTTCCCTGGACCAGATGTTCGACGCAGAGGTAGGCTTGGCGGCATGGAGTAGGTTTTTGTGGTCCTGCACCGACGAGCTCTAGATCTAAGTGGGCCACGTTCTCGTTTTTGTGGACCTAAGAAAGAAGGGATTCCGGTGCGCCCCCTCACCCCCGCCCATCTGTTAAATGGAATGACTGAGGGCAGGGAGGCAGATGAGTTCACTCAGGCGTGTCCAGTCCTCGGATATTGGGAAATGACGTACTCATCTACAGAATTCACGCTTAGGAACTGCGCATTCAAGTTTGTTTGTTTTTAAAGAAAACAGTCTTACAGGGCTTTAAGTAACTTTACAGTTTTGTGTTGGGCTGCACTCACAGCTAGCTATGCAACTGAGCCCGAGGTTGAACACGTGTCAGATATTACAGTCAACAGGCTATTGTCTCAGGCAAACATGGAAAGTCTCTTGGCTGAGACCTCCTAGGAAAGTGTCTATAGTTTTCTTAGCTTAGATTTGCAGGGGCCACGGTAGGAAGAGGGATAGATAAAAGGGCACCCAGGGTGACACGGTGGGAATGTTAGGACTTGGTGTCAGACGGGCATCTTACGAAATTCCACTTTGTTTGCTGTGTGACTTGTGGCAAATGTTACATCTCCTGTTGGCAAAGTCAAGCTATTGGCATTAGGCGGTAGGTAGTACAAAGATCCTACCTGTGTTTAGAGTGCAGCCTAGTTGAAGGAACTCGACACGTTGTTTTACCTTTCCAAGCCCTTTCCTCCTCCGGAAAATGGACAGAATAACCCTGTCTTGTCACCCACAGTAAAATGTTAAAAGGCCCAGAGGGATAAGAAAATGCTCTGTGTGCCTGGTGTATGTGTGTTGCACGCCTTTAATCCTAGCACTTGGGAGGCAGAGGCAGGTGGATCTCTGAGTTGGAGGGCTGTCTGGTCTACAGAGCGAGTTCCAGGACAGCCAGGGCTAGACAGGGAAACCCTGTCTGGAAAAACAAAAAGAAACAAAAGAGGAAAATGCTTTGTACTGAAGGTGTAGTGGAAGCCTGAGAGGCTGTTAGGAGAAAGCTGTGATTGACAGGTGGTATTGAGCAGAGTCCTTGGCTCGGGAGACCTGGGACGGAGTCCTTGCATCTCGTTACTCACTCTTTGCTTTAGCCTTTGGGTAACTAATAATTTGAGAACAGACACTGGCAGTGTTGTGAGATCATGGATGTCAGAGGCCTTTGCAAGCTGAAGCGCGGTTCAGATATTTAGTACTTAGTAGTACTCTGTCAACGATAAATACCGCACGCATATTAGATGTGGGAGACTCCATCGCTTCTCTAGCATGTTTCCCTGTGATTCCCCCTCAGATCCTGGGCTTTTCCACCCCTCCAGGCCGGCTCTCAATGATGTCCTTCGTCCTCAACGCCCTCACCTGGTGAGTACCATCAGCTCTCCTGGGGTCTAACTGGGACTAACTTATAAACTTAAACATGAGCAGGCTGGCATGTCTTGGGAAGGGTAAGATGGGCGGAAGAACCTATTTCTATGAACTGGCCCATCGCGGGTCTCCATTTTTGTTTTGAGTTAAGCTCAACGCTCACTGTCACTGTGTGTGTGCTGCCTCCTGATGGTGTGTGAGTCGAGGGGAGGATTGGCTTCTCTTCTTGTTCTTTGCCATTGATGGAGTTACTTTCCTCCTCTCCGGGACCCAGGCTCCTTGTGTATATCCCAGGGAGTTGGACTAGGTAACATCCAAGGTCACTCATGACCACTGCCCATCCTTTGAGGATCGGTTAACATAGGGACCAAGATCTTAGATAGCAGACTTACCCGACCTCGAATCTTCCACCTCACCATGAGTGTAGTGACTTCAGACAGTTTTATCTCATATCCTCATCAGTAAAGTGGGGCTAATCTGATCACTTACCTCCTAGTTAAAAGTACTGTGTTAATTCACAGGAAGTACTTTAGTCTTGTACATATATCACAACTTTACACTGAAGGTGGGAAAATGTCCAGATTTCTGGCTTCTCTTAAATAGTGGGAAAATGGATTGAGTCCAGGCTCTAAAATCTGGCTGGATGCAATAGTTTCTGTCTGCATTTTACACAGACTATGTACTTTCTGGTACCCACCAGTCTGTGCCATTCCTGGGCGGCTGTTTGTCATCAGACTCATCTTTCCCTGCTCTGTCAGACCCTCTCTTGATGTTACCCAGCAGGTCTCTCGGCATCTGATGTGATAACCCGTTTCTCACTCGCCTTGCTCACTTCTGATCACTCTGCTGTCATTCTGATTGTCCCCACATCCCCGAGAACCTAATGTAAGGCCAGGACAACCCAGTGACAACTCGCTGCTGTCCTTTCCCCACAGTGCCCTGGGCTTGCTGTACTTCATCCGGCGAGGGAAGCAGTGTCTGGACTTCACGGTCACTGTGCACTTCTTTCACCTCCTGGGGTGTTGGCTCTACAGCTCCCGTTTCCCCTCGGCGCTGACCTGGTGGCTGGTCCAAGCTGTGTGCATTGCACTCATGGCCGTCATTGGGGAATACCTGTGTATGCGGACGGAGCTCAAGGAGATCCCCCTCAGCTCAGCCCCTAAGTCCAATGTCTAGAGTTGGGCCCTTTGGACGCTCTGCTGGCATTTGGCCCTCCCTTGGGCTGCTCAGACCTCCACATGGGTCCAGCCCGAGTCTGAGAGGAACCCTGGAAATGTGAAGTCTGTTGGTGGAAAGATAGTGAGGTCCTGTCACAGAGGCAGGGGCAGTGAGGACCACAGCTGCAAGAATGGCCTCTGCCTGCTGGAGCCTTGACACCTGGAGGCCGGGAAGGGAACCTCACTGAGGGTAGTAACAGATTTGGAGCCATGTCACTCTTGAGCCATCATACTGTCACCAGCCTGTTGTTTTAAAAAAAGGAAAAAAAATCAAGGATATCTGATTGGCGCAAACCATTCTTCTGGTCGCCTCTTACCCTCTGGGCCAGCTGGTACCTTTGCCATGTTGCCAAACCACAGTGATTGTGTATGCAGAGACATTTGATTTCTGGGTCCATAACCACAGAAAGAGATGTAGCAGAGAGTACTAGGCTGCTGACAGAGAGGACGACAGATGAAGGAAGCATCAAGCACAAGAGAACGCACAGCCTGTGCCTGTTAGACACACACAGATGTGTGTGTGTGTGTGTGTGTGTATGTGTGTGTCCAAGAACCGTGACTGACTTCCTCCAGGTCCCTGTATGGACTCGACCCTGCTGCCGACTCTCAACACAGTGGGCCACCCCCACCCCACCCCCAGCCTTAGCTTCATAATAAAAGCCACTGTCTGCTCTCTAGGATGACCAGGCACCGGCTCCCACTGGACTCTCAGTTGTGGCAAGAGTTTCTTTTTCCTGCCTTATTTGAATTCTGTGGTGGTGAGAGGGGTATGATGGTGCCCAGCTTCCCGTTGCAGGCTCCACTCCTGGTGCTGGAGGAGGAAGACTTTGCTGAGAAGGCTAGAGTTCACGCCTAGAGTGGTTCCTCTGTGAGGCCCTGGCAGCTGCCCTTTCTGGGTACATAAATCCAGTATTTTCCACACTTCTGCCTGTACTGCCTGTACTTACTTGATGATGTCATTGTTAGGACCAAGAGAGAGATAGCTGTGCCCAAGAGCTATAAACAATTAGCAGTCACTTCCTGAGTCCCAGAGTTATCTCTCCATTCAGGTCAAATACCAGATGTCAGAATAAGTATCGGAGCACCTGCTTGCCCTAATACTTGGGAGGCTGAGGCAGGAGGATTGTGAGTTTGAGGCCAACCTGGGCTACATGATAAACTCAGATGTTATAGTGAATCTCTGTCTCACAAAACAAGAACAAAACAGTGTCCTACCCTGCACCTGCTCTAGGATGCCTAGGGTAAACGGCCATTTCCCTCACTTGTGACCCCTGAGCAGGTGCTGCGGCACACGCTTGTGGTCCCTGAGCAGGCTCTGCGGCACACACTTGTGACCCCTGAGCAGGTGCTGCGACACACATTTGGAAAGCAGAGAGTGTTTCTCTGGTTTCTGGAGCTCACCCAAGATAGCGGAGTTTCGCAACTAAAGATGAGTTTTGCTTCCTCCCTAGGGAGCCTTTCTTGCCTCTTGGCTCATGAGGAGTCAGAGCTGGCAGAATGAAAACCTGAGAATGAAAGTGTCTGGGCAAATCTGTGAGCTAGAGGGAGGCCCTTTGGCAACTCAGGGTTGTGCTGTGCTGACGGCAGGGCCCAGGCCCAGCTGGGTTGGTGGGTTTCCTCCTAGACACAAACTCCTCAGGTTATGAGTACAGTGAAGGGTTTTAGAAGATGCAGCATAGCTGCTGTCTCTCTTGAGCTGTGGAGTCTCGCTCCAGGCAAGAACATCTCTTTAGTGTTTTCTTTTAGTTGCTTGTGCCAGCGTTTCCTGCATAGTTTCCTGGATATCCACCTGCCTCTGCCTCCCCAGTGCTAGGATTAAAGATGTGCACTGCCTGGCTCCATCATCCATACCGTATAGGTGATGAAACTATGGAACTTGTCTGTAGTTACTTGTTAGCCTCAGAAGTTATTTTGGGCTCTGGAAGTGACAATGATGAGCTCATGTAGCAGAGTTCAATAAGGGCATATAAGCTCTGATTGTTTCGGCAGTCTATAACCTTATACCTTCAAATCTCAGTTTTCCTAAGTTAGATTGAATAGTGTTATGTACATAACTAGCTAGTCAAGAAAAATGGATAGGCAGCATGCAAATGAGGAACACAGATTAACAAGTAATGTAGGATGCAGGCTGGGTGTTTATTTCTAGAAGATGAAGGCTACACTGTACATTATAAAACTACCTCCTCCACCTTCCTAGTGAAAGAGCGTACCTCTCTGGAGAGCCCAAGCCCTGACCCTGTCTCTCTCTCTTCACTCTGCCCAACACCCACATTCAGGCCATTTGGAGAAAGATGTGGGAACTTATGTAATTGCCACTCAAAACAGTTTATAACTCCAAAAGATAGGGGGGGGGGCGTATGGCTCAGAGGACACCTGTAACCCTCACTCTCTGTAGCCCTGTCTAGATCAACTACATGGAAGCCAGAATGCACTTGCAGAGATCTTGGAGGGAGGAGTTTTTGAGGGAAGGCCCTGGGTCCTCCCAGGACCTGAAGGGTCCTAACTCAGAAAGGCTCTCCTGGAAGCCCTGTTTCTGGGACTCTGTGGCTTCAGGGTGGGCCTCCTGACCAAAGGGCAGTCACACCTTGTCAGAAAGTGATGGCGGCTAATGAAAACAGTATTGAGGCAGGAAAAGATGGAAGCTGAGTCAGTGGGAACGGTAGCAGGAACGGAGGACTAGAGAGCTGCAGCGGCTCGCAGGAGGAGGGCTGAGTTTGAGGCCAGCTTGGCGAGGTGTATTGTGTGTCACTCTCCACACCCTACCCCTGCAAAAGGTAATGGTGCAGTGTTTGCATATAACTATACATTTCTTTCACACTTCAGATGGTACAAATGTCAATGTGGTGGTTGAGGCTATGCAGCATTGTTCAGGAAACAGAGAAGCCTATACACGTTCGGTATGGATGGACATCTTTATCCAGTATTTTCCAGCTGGTTGAATCCCAGGGTGCAGAACACTTGCGTGCAGAGCACAGCACAGGGCTGGGGAGGGCAGATTGTACTCTTTTCTTTGGATTGGTGTGAGAATTTCATGAGAGGACATGTGGCACAGCGTCTGGCAGGTAGGAAGTGACCCATGGCTCTAAGTTACCAGCCTCCCTCCCACTCCCCCACTTTAGAGGAGCCTGCTTTCTTCTGTTTGCCGTATCCTGCAGGGTGGCTATTGTATATTCTTTTCCTTTTATTTAAATTTTTATTTTACATACTAACCCCAGTTCCCTCTCTCTCCCCTTCTCCCATCCCTCCACCTCCCATCCACTCCTTCAGAGGAGGGTAAGCCCTTATTTGGAGAGTCAGCTAAGTCTGGCATACCAAGTTGAGGCAAGACCAAGCCCCTTCCCTCTGTATCAAGGCTGAACAAGGTATCCCGCCAAAGGGAATGGGCTCTGAAAAGCCAGTTCATGCACCTGGGGTAGGTCCTGGGAGCACAAACTTGTACAGCCAATTCGGAAATTAGTATGGCCAATTTGGAAATCAGAAAATTGGGAATCAATCCACCTCAAGACCCAGCAGTACTACTCTTGGTATATACCCAGATTATGCACAGTCATACCACAAGGATGTTTGCTTATCTGTGTTTACAGCAGCATCATTTGTAATAGCCAGATCCTGAAAACAACCTAGGTGCCCCTCAACTGAAGAATGGATAAAGAAAATGGGGTACATTTACACAATGCTGTTGCACCTGAACTGTAGGACACAGTGATAACACCCCTCCTATCCTGGCGTTTTCTGTGATCTTTGACTCAGGAAGCCCAATTATTGATACCACACGCATTGATAATCAATGGTGAACTGGGTTCTGGGATGATTCCATTGGGCTTTCCGTGTGACTTTTTCCTCTTTTGGGAAGGTGGCATGGAGAAGCCAGGAGACGGAGGGTAGGTTTTGCTCTAGTACCTCTTGCTATATAGGTAGGTATACAAGTTTCCACTTCTTGGATTGCAGGGCCATTATGAGGCACCTGCACCCAGGAGATAAATGGTCTCTGACTTCATAGAGGAAGTGTGCACTGTTCAAAGGAGCCAGCTTGTGGGGCAGTGAGGGAAGGTAAAGGATTACAACTTGGTAATATTCTGTTTTGGTTTTAGAAAATTACTTTAGGAGCCTAGGGATGGACCAGGGTAGCAGAAACTCGACATACACTCCCCTCCCCACCTCCCCCAGGATCCCTGTCCTCCATGTTTATGTGATTGCCAGCCTTGGACAGGTGGGGTCAGTGGTAGTATTGTTCACTGCCATATGGGAGATTTTATTTGTAGACTTGTGGAATTCCCTCCCATCCCTCCCATTCAGTCAATCACAGGATCTCTACTCTTCTTACATTCAAGTTCCCATCCAGGGTTACACCACCTGCCAGCAGAAATCTCCATGTTAGTCATAAAAGTTACCCCCAGAGGGCGCTATCGTCCAGTGAGTGGGCACAGGGCCTGGAAGCTTTGGTTTCTGTGGCAAATTGGAGCTATCTCACTTTCCCAAAGGGAATTCCTTTAAGACAGACCTCAGGAGTCACTCATCCTGATCCTTCATGGGGACCTCAACCCATGAAGGGGAGAGTTTCTTGTTGTCTTTGCTTTGTTTAAGGACTTTCTAGCATAAGTCTTATTGACTAAATCAAATAGAGTTGATTTGACCTAAGGGAGGAGACGCAGCAAAGCCCAGTGTGGCTGCTTCCCTCCTCCCTAGCTTAAAGTTGATTGAGATTCAGGGCCACAGTGGTTCCCTCTCTCCTGGGGTCTTCAATGAGATGACACATACTGGACCCCACATTTCCATTGCACCTTCCCTAGAGCTGAGTAACACCAAGATACATCCTCAACCCAGCTATTAACCTGCTGTGTGGCCTAGTCAGTGACTTCCTCTCTCTGAGAATGGAGCCTTGCAGTGCCACCAGCCACCTAGAGCCCTGAGCCTCGGGCGCAGGTAAGGGCCTGGCTGAGGGGCTGCATGTTTCCTTGGTATTGCCATACCCACCTCAGGTGGATGGTACATAGGCAGCTCAAAGTGACACAGAGCAGAAACGGGTACAGGGACGCTTGGTGCAGCGTAGGGTAGATGCTCTGCACATGATACGGCGCCCTGGGGGGCGGATGCGTGTGGGAAGCCCCTCAAACCAGACAAATTGGTCAGTTACATCCAGTGGCTTCCTGTCCATCATGGGAATTCTGTGATGGTAGGTCTTGAGGAAGACAGCTCGGGGCTTCTTAACACGTGGTTTCCTCTTCTGGGCTCTGGTATGCAAGCCAACACTCTGTGGTACCTTGGGGACTCTAGACTTTGCTTTCTCTTTTCTCCGTCGCACTGCTGCAGGTGACCTCTTTGGCCCTTCTGTAGGCTTCCACTTGCTGGACACTTTTGTCTTAGGTTTCCCCATGACCTCTGCTTTCTTAGATTCCGGTTTCTTCTCAAGGGCCATAACTTCTTGGAGCTCTTCATTATTTTGTTTTACTTTCTTGCAGACACCGTTGTCCCTGACAGGGAGAGGAAGGGTGGTCAGTAGAGCAAGGGTCTTTCTAAGCCAGTCCTGAGCAGTTGCTGTGTAGCAGCAGTTGCTGTGTAGCAGCTGTTCAGGGAGCCTGCTAGAGCTAGAGCTGGAGCTAGACTGGAAAGAAGTGTCTCTAGTGCCTGGGGATACACAGGAAGATGGGTTATGACTGACTGGCTGTGAGGCTCTGGCGAGGCAGAAGGCATGACCAGCATTCAGGGGCCCAAGGGTATATATGCTGTTGGCACCTGCCTCGACACCAGGCTTCTGTCTCAGCCAAGAGCGAAGACAGCCCAGCGTTCCTTTCAAATTATATTCTGAGGAATCATGGAGTTCTGAGGAGGCTTCTTCAGTACCTTCCTCTGAGCTAGGTAGAAAGCAGGATGAGGGCAAGGTACCCCTCACTTGAAGCAAATTTCTCACTGCTTTAAAACTGGTGGTGGTCTGTGACCCTGAGCTTCTGGTTCTGGGCTTCCTGGTTAGCCTGGAAGCTACATCAAAGAGAGAAGCCTTAGGAAGGAACCGGCAGCTTCCACACATAGAGAGAGTTCATCAGGACTGTGAGTATCAGATTGAGCCAGGCAGAGCCCTGTGCTGGCTCATCCTAGCTGATGACAGTGATGACCACTAGGTACCTGTCATCAAGATCTGCCAAGCAGGAGGCAAGGAAGCAGCCATGTTCTGTAGGGCAGTCTTTGGAGACAGCGTGCCAGACTCAGATCATCTGGATGGTGTAAGACACTTAACCTCCCAGAGCCCAGCTACTGGAGTAATGTCACGTGTCAGGTACTTAGGATTGTTGAGAAGCATCTAAGTGGTAGGGGAGGGATTATATGCATGACATTCCAAGCAGAGTGGCTGGCACTTAGTACGCACTTTATAAATGCTCCCCAAATTCTAGAGTTACCCAAGAGTAATCAGATTCTGAGCAAGACACATGTATCTTCAGATTCAGAGGGGGCCTGCAAGTCAGTCTCTGGGTTAGGCTGCCAGGCACAGGAGGAAGAGAATGCTCCCCACATATGCACTCGGTACCACAGTTCTAGGTGGGCCCTTAACTAGATGATTAGGATCACTGTTACAGCCATAGCTTTGATCTCAGACGGGAATGACTTCAAATGGGTACCCTGCCAATTGTTAGTTCAGTTGATTGAGATGAGTCACTTCAGCTCTTGAGCTTCAGTCCCTATCAGTGAAATAGTGTGCATGAATACCTGTTGCTCAGAGCCCCTGTGTAAAGTAGGCCACTGTTCCTCAATCCCTCACCACAATGCCTATTCCTAGGAAAGGCAGCTACTGGCTCCATTTTGTGTGTTTATCAGAAGGGGGTGTGGACGGAGCTCACCCAGAGGAGATTTGGAGGATCTTTGGAACTTTGAGCATTGAATTCCAGCACCTTCTGGCCAGGGTATGCAGTTTTTGGATCCGGCTATTTGAGCTCCTGAGTAACTTCAAGAGGGACAAGTTTTTTAATACCTGCCAGGGTCAAGAAACCAGAAAATTAGAGGGTTCAGCCTTCCTGGGATAGCCTTCTATGCCCTAACTGTGGCTTGGCTCAGCTCCCATGGGTCACTGGGCCCAGCACCTGGGGTAGCACTTCAGGGGGGGAGTTAGACTTCCCTAAGTAGGGGCTAAGATGGAGCATCTCACCATTTTAAGTCGGTTCCGCCCAATTAGTTCGTTGACAGGCTGATTTATCTTGTCATCCTGCGGTTTCTCATCTTTCGTCTGAGGGACAGGAAAAGAGGGAGAGCTAGCATAGAAGGAGTCCCTTGCACGGCTGTGCTGGGCCTCTCCCATTGGCAGAGCCCGCTTTGACCAGCCCTAGACCGGAACCATTTTAACTCTGCCGGCCTCCTTTCACCCTTCATCTTCCCCTTTTCTGAAATGCTGGAAAGTGACCCTCTGGTAAGTTCCCTCCTACGCCTGGGCTCCAGTACAAAGTCTGACCTTGGAAACCAGTCTATTCTTGGGCCTCTTCTTTGTAGATGGACTCATGCTGGGGCTGGGGCAGCAAGACTTGATCCAGCACTGCCTGTACCCTTGCCCCTCTCACTTCAGCCAGCACAGGGCTGAGCAATATATGATGGCACTGGAGCTGCCAGGCAGGGGAGCTGTGACATCACTGAAATGTGTGACAGCATCAGGGATGTGTCTCTGGAGGGCCAGAAGGCCACTCCCATCTGGAGAAACACAGGTGACAGGCAGCAGTGCTCATGGTCACAGCCTGTGGTGAGAAGGTGGACCCCTTTTTGTAGAGGAAGAAACTCGGATTTGAAGAGGTTACATAGTTCACCCAGTTCACACAGCTGGTTGGCAGAGCTGGGAATATGTAGGTCTGACAAGTCAGTCCCTGAAAACTGGAGTTCCCAAACTGTTCTAGTCACATGCCACACGTGTTGCCTAGCTCCTGCTTCATGTCAGGTGTTGTTGTTGTTGTTTTGTTTTTATAATTTCTAGAGTAAAGTGAGCTTCCATTCAGACAAGATGAGGCACAGTTAGGGTGGCATGGCTGTGGACTGGTTAATGTTCCAATGGAGGCAAATAGCCCTCAAATAGTATGTGTGCTTATAAGTTTTACTGATGGAAATCTAGGAATAATCTTACAATGCTCTTTATTATAAATTTCATTCTTCAGTTACTATTTGGGGTTTTAAAAATCATTTATTTTGTTTTTAAAAAATTGTGTGTTGATGGAGGTGCATGCAGAGGCCAGAGAGCGTTATCCCCTGGATCTGGAGTTACAGGCAGTTATGATCTGCTTGGGTGCTGAAAACCAAACTTGGGCTCTTTGTAAGAGAAGTACTTGCTATAATCACGAAGCCTTCACTCCCGCCCCACTTTGGTTTTGATATAAGTGTCTTGCTGTGCTGCCCAGGCTAGCCTCAAACTTGTCTTCCTGTCTTAGTTTCTTCACTTGGAATTATAAGCATGTGTCACTCACAACCTAGCTGATATTTATATTATGCTGTTCTTGAAACTAAGTCTTCTTTCTGTGTATGGCTAGCATGCAGTTATGTCTAAGCGAATATGGTACCAGCATAAGTGCTGGTGTTTGCATTTGAACTGAGGAGTCAGAAGATGAAAATGTGAGACAAGAAATGCTGACATTTTCTCTCATCCCCCACTGACCAGACAGGCTTTGCATTACTATTGTTTGCTCCAATATGTTCTCTTTCTTTTCTTTATTTTTCTCATTTTTTGTTTTTTCGAGACAGGGTTTCTCTGTAACAGCCTTGGCTGTTCTGGAACTTGCTCTGTAGACCAGGCTAGTCTCAAACTCACAGAGATCCGCCTGCCTCTGCCTCCCAAGTGCTGGGACTAAAGGCGTGAGCCACCACTGCCCAGCCTTTCAGTTTCTTTCTTAAGGCTAGATCAGTGACCAGGCATTTTCTTCTGTAAGGGGCCGCTGCTGTGGGACTTTTCAGCTACAGTTGTAACTGCCTACTTTAGTTATGTACGAAGTAGCTACCGATAGCACAAAAATGAATGGGTGTGGTCTTACTGCAAGAAGACTATTTACAAATAACCCTGATGAGCTGAATTTGGCCCGTGCCAACTGGGGACAAACCAATAAACCAATACAGTGAAACCCAGTGTGTCAGGCTTGCCTCCTCTGTGAAATACTCCTACTGCAGTTAATTTCAGCTCAGTAACTGGTGAGGTTGGACTCAGAATAGAGAAAAATACTCAGCATGCCCTTATACATCATGTCTCCTGCTCCGCAAGTCTGCAGAGCAAAGACTCTCAGGGAGGCAGGCAGGCGATGGCTTTCAGGGTTAGAAAGTGACAAGTGTGAACAGTTTTACCTTTGCTCAGCATCATTCATGTAATTATAAGTTTAGTCATTTAACCTTTGATGATGACTGCACTTAAGAGCCAGCTCGCAGAGTTTCTCAACATGGAAGGATAGATTTTCCTGAGCCTGACTCAGATTTAGCATGTCACTTATAGCAGATGGAGCTACATGCCTGGATTGAAGTGAACAGGGAAGGGGATAAGAAGGGTAAAGGAAGGGGTATGTTGTATTAAAAAGTGTGATTGTCCAAGCCTGGAGTGCCAGCACTTGGGAGCCTGGGGCCGGAGGATCAGTTCAAGACCAGCCTGACTCCCCAAGGAGAACCTGTCTCCAAGATAAGACAGAACAGAGCAGGAGAGATGGCGCAGTGATTAGAAGTGCATCTCTGAGTAGTTCCCAGCACCTGTGTTGAGCAGCTCACAGCCACCTGTGGTGCCAGTTCCAGGGGTTCTAACACCTCTGGCTTCCACAGGTACCTTCCCTTGCATGAGCACATATATACACATATAATCTTTTTCTTGAAGGCACACACACACACACACACACACTCACACACACACACTCACACACACACACAATCTTTTTAAGACAGATATCTGGTTTGGAAAATATTTATCAAGAAGATGAGATTTGAACAGAGCCCTGAAGGAAGAGGAGGCTGTGGTGGTGGCAGAGCATGAGGTTGATGAGGAAGTTATGGTGGGCTAAGAACAGATTGTGGACCACCCTGAAGGATGATGGTCTGTCTGGACCCTGTGTGTAGTTGGCTATATCAGAATGATCCAGAGAGCTTGGAAGAAATAACTTCTCAGGCACTGTCCCACTCCCTGGCCTGTCAGATACCCAGTCAAGTTTGGTACCCACTTCATACTAGACTTTCTTAAATGTCTTGTATCAGCAATATGAAGGTGTGTGGGGATGTGAATCTGCCTCAGGGAAGATAACAAGGAGTAATTAGGAAGGAAGATATCAAGGACAGTCCCTTTGTGCTCACTCTTCTGTGGATCCCATTATCCCTTGGCCTCTCTGCTTGCTGAGCTGTTCTCCTTGCTAGTGCCACTATGGTGCTTATCAAGTAGATTGTACTAGACTGCACATGCTCAGAGGCCTTGGTTCCTGGTCACTATATCAGCTCCATCAATTCCAGGGGCTATGATCTGCTCTGAGTTAGGCACCATGGACAGTAACCATAGGTAATCATAGGCAAAGCACGCCCCCTTTCCTGCCCTCTTTCAAGCCCATAGACACCTCTAGAATGTAGGCTCCTTAACAGCAGGAGTTTTTGTCTGTTTCATTCATTGATAAATCCCAAAGGACCTAGAACTGTGTCTGGTAGGATCATAGATCATAATCATGCTAAAAACAAGAACAACTCTCCCGAAATATATACTGTGATTAAGATAAATGAGAACCCCCAAGCTAGTCTGTGGGAATGAGGGAAGAAATAAGTTAGCCAAGTAAAGGATATGAGGTGGCCAGGGCCTTCTCACAAGAGGGAATTTAGAGGGTGTGCAATGTGTTTTACCGGGGAAGACAGTGGGGTCGAGTGTAGCAAGGTGGACCTGGAAAAGAGGACATGACTTAGGTGCTATGTGCTAAACAGCCAGGCTGAGAGCCTCGGAGTCTGCTCTGAGGGCACCAGGAGGGCTCAGCCTGTGGAGACACTGGCTTGATTCTGTGCTGGGGCAAGCCTGACCACCTTTGTCATTCTGCTCCAGCTCATGCATTTTAAAAAGTGTTTATAAGGCTGTACCCTGTATAGGAGTTTTGGGTTTCTATCAAAATTAAGTAGTTAGATGTGATGCACGCCTTTAATCCCAGCACTTGGGAGGCTATCCTGGACTATACAGCTACATAGTGAGACCCTGTCTCAACAAGGAAAAGCAATTAAGTAGAATGTACAGTAATTTCCCATAATCCTCCCACCCTTGTATGTGAGTTGCCCCCTCTTCACTCCATCAACACTAGCAGGTAAGCTCCTGGCATACTGTGTGACACATTAGCATTATCACCCAGAGGTCATCCTTTATGATGGGGTTTCCTCTTGCTCTTGTCCACTGGATGAATGTTCAATAGCATTACCCTAAAAATTCCATGCCATACTTTATTCATCCCTCCTTCTCCACCAGGCCCTGGCAAACACTGACCTTTTTACTGTCAGCATAGTTTTGCCTTCCATTGTGTCCTATGATCAAAATAAAAGCAAATAAGTGTCTAGCCATTTTGGATTGGCATTTCTTTAATAAGCATTTAAACGAACTCGTGTCTTTCTATACCTTGACTGCTCGCCTCTTTTCAGTGCTGAATAATTGTTTTCGTGAGTGTCAGTTTGTTTATCCCTCACCTACTGAGGAATGTCTTCCGTGACTCCAGCTTTGGGAAATTATAAATAAAGCTGCTGCGCACATCTGTGTGCAGGTGTCTACACAGACACATGCTTTCCACTCCCTTGGATAAATGCCTGAGACTGCAACTGCTGATCAGCTTAGTCTTGTAAGATAGCACCGAACTGTCTTCCTACATGGCTGTAACTGAGACAACTTTTACAAGTTTTGTTTTGTTTTTCCACATAGGGTCTTGCTACATAGCCCAGCCTAGCCTGGAACTCACTATATAGTGCAGGCTGGTCTTAAACTGGCAGTCCTCCTACCTTTTAATGTCCGGAGTGCTGGAGTTCTAGATGTGAACCATCACACCCGGCTTAGTCAACATGGTCACTCCTTATCTGCTTCCCCACCTTCCGAAGTTAGAGCCACCTGAGCAGTTCATACCCAGGAGACCAGGTGGTACAGTGGCAGCAGCTGATGAGCAGTCTTCCATATTGCATTTGTTTGCTGTTCCATTTACACAGGGAAAATACAAGCTTCCATGGGGGAGAGAAATCTACCCAGTGACACGACTGGTAAGCCTTGAATAATAACTACAAGAAAGCTTTTAAAAATAGGTAGAGTGAAGCTGGGTGGTGGTGGCTCACACCTTTAATCCCAGCACTCAGGAAGCAGAGGCAGGTGGATCATTGTGAGTTCAAGGCCAGCCTGGTCTACAGAGTGAGTGTCAGGACAACCAAGCCTTCACAGAGAGACCCTGTCTCTAAAAACAAACAAAAAAAAAAGTATAGTGAATAGAACATATGATTTATCAACTTCTTTTTTTTAATCTTTGTTTTTTTTGTTTGTTTGTTTTTTTTGGTTTTTCGAGACAGGGTTTCTCTGTGGCTTTGGAGGCTGTCCTGGAACTAGCTCTTGTAGACCAGGCTGGCCTCGAACTCACAGAGATC